CAGCCACTTTCATTCTTCTTTCTCTCTTTCCCTTTTCCCTTTCCTCCTTTATTTGTTTATTTTTGTTTTCATTAGTTACAGAAAATACCATGGAGGATGCCAGGATGCGTGGGAACTATAGAGATGTTAAGCTTATAAATAAGATTGCTATGACTTAGCCCAAAGAACTCTGTGTTAGCCATAGAAATTTACTTTGACTAGCACCAACAAAAGGAGAATCGTACTGGAGAGCTCGCTCTGTACAGACACCTGGATGGGGGACCCCAGAAGTCTTCTGCACTCTTCCTTTCACACCGTATTTTTTTCCTACTCTTTGGAAATTCTTTACACAAACACAGTTTCAGCCATGCTGTTTACTCCCAGTTAATGTACATATCAGTGACAGGATACCAGTAGGGTCCCCCATGCCAGTGCCCCCACTTCCGGGGCAGTGGTGTGACTTCTCTCTGTAGAGAAGTGTTTTGCCCTCAAGAGACCCACAGTTTGATTTTTTAAAAAATATTTATTTATTTATACATACAAGAACTGGGGTACAGGCCAGAGGTATGTATGGGGGTGGGGGGTGAGAGGATTCACCAGAGACAGAGTGGGAGGCAGAACAGGCAGATTGAAATACACTGCTGAGGGGAGCAGCAGGACAGGAGAGGTCTGACGTGCCATGTGGGTCACCTCTCTGGCGGGTGATTGCACTCCTGCTCATTGGCTGTGGGGAGCTTCACAGTGCTGTGTTTTAACCCATTGTGCCGCCAGGGAGGGCCCCACAGCTTGATTTTTTTATGTGCTAAGCAATTGGGCTAGCCTTGCTAAGCAGGTCGCAGTTGGCATTTTAAATCTTCATCTGTTTAAAACATACCCTTGGCCCTTAATGTCAGTGGGGCCCTGGTATGTCCCTCTCCTTCAGACTTCCACATAGACTGCCCAGCCTAGCAGCACTGTGAGGTTGGTTGGTCGTTTTAGACACCCAGGAGTCACAGGGAAGTGTAGAAACATCAAGAGGACTCAGATAGGGTGGGGCAGGGCGGAGTAACAGATCTTCAAGCAGTCATGGTTCTGCTTTTCAGATTCACAGCGAGTTCTAGTAGCTTTGACTTGGAACCTCTTTTCCTTGTTTTTTCTTCAGACCATCAAAGTAATTTTGGTTGCCCACCTGTGCATGAAGAATTGAATCTGAGGGGGAAAATCAGATTTTTATTTGCCTTCTTTTTAATTCAGATATACAACTTGCAATGTGCATAAACCCTACGGGTGAGGCTCAATGAATGTCGGCCTGTGTTTACACTCATGTCTCCACCACCTCATCAGGACAACGCATTTCCACAGATTCCCTGTGCCCGCTTGCCCCCTGCTCCCCACGACCCCTCTGTTCTGAATTCTTGATCTTAGAGTCATTCTTCCTCTTCAGACTTCCTACAAAGCTTCTCCTGTTTTACAGTTGAGGACCTGAGTTATAGAGAGGTCAGGCAACTTGCCCCAGGCTCCTCATCTTCGAGGCGGCAGAAGCACCTCGAAGTGACCCCACATCCTTCTGCCACTGCCCTATGGGTCTTCTCACCACGGTGATAGTGGCAGGAGAAGTCAGGCCCACGGGCGTCCCCAGACAGCGCTTAACACACAAAAAGCCTTTATTTATGCCAAGTAGTCTGATTTCTCACTGGCACTGTTCGGACCTTTTAAAATCAGCTCAGCCCAGCCAATAAAGCTAGCTCATCTGTGCAGCCACCTGCAAGAGGGAGCTGTGGGTGGGTTTGCACGGCTGGCTGAAGGTGGCAGCAAGCCAGCTGTTCTGGAATATCTGCCTTGGATAAGCAGGGTGACATGGGCCAGCGAGCGGCACAGGTGATTGCCTGGGGCCCTTCTGGAAGGTGCAGGGAGTGCCAGTTCTGGCCTTACATATGCAGACTGACACCCAGTCCACAAGCCAGTGTTTCCATCCATCCCTCCCCTCCCTTTTGTCCTTTGTCCTTGGCACTTGAGCCCCAGAGAGGTCCCCTGGGGCCTCCAGGGTAAGCTCACCTGGCACCACACCTGGGACTCACCCTGCTCTTGACTGAGGTCACCTCCAGAGGATTACATCATCCCACAATCCCTCAGTGATGAGCAGAGGCCCTGCCTTCCCAGGGAAAGTCATTCAACTGGAAAGGGGATATGAGGATCTCACCCTTTGGTGACCAGTGCTGTTAATCACCCAGCGGTGTGTCGATATTCAACACCCCTCCAGATTGTAGATTAGGGCTGGGATGGAAATTGATGACCGGTGGCTAAGGAGGGGCATGTCTCTGAGGAGAAGCTGACCTCCATCAAAGACTGTGGTCTTGCTTGCTCATCTCCCACTGGCTCATTTGTGCTTCTTCTTCTCCACTAGAGCTCAAGTATGAGCTGGACAAGCACTGGCCTCTCTCTCTGTCCACACCTTGTGGCCTCAGAGGGCCATCCTCTTCCTCTCCCCCACCCCACCTCCTCATTTTCTCCCTTGACCCGGGATGCCAAAGGAGGGGAAGCTGTGTGAGCCTCAAGGAACCTGGAGAAGGCAGACTTGAGGTGGAATTCCAGATCAGCCATCAGTGCTCTCTGATCTCAGAGATGGGGCTCACCTCCCTGGCCCTTGATTTTAAAATAGGGATCACCTGATTTTAAAATAGGGATCAGCACATTTCATAGGGGAAATGTGATAACCTGATGCTCTCAAAGGCCCAGTTAGGCCTTTCCTGACAGAAGGGGCTGGAGAATAAGTAAATTGAAAGCTAATCTGTCATTCCCTTATTTCAGAACATCTTTGTGACCCTCCCACCCCCACCCCCAACAAAGAAACCACCCCTGGGTGTCTCTGAAGCCAGTGTTTCTTGTTAATTGAGCACCGACTGTATTGTGCTTGTCCCAGGACACAAAGGTTGGGACCTTAGTAAAAAACAAATGCTTAGGAAAAAGTGGCCAATTATAAGACTCAAAATAATTGCTTTATTATTTTATGGCCTGTGGATGGACCCAAGGGCCTAATTCATGTTTAAGATAACCCAGCCTGGCCACTTCAAGCACTGCCCCCAGTGGCACACCAGAGTGAACTGTAAATGGGTACCTTCTCCCTGTGGGGAATTTGGGGGTATTAGCTGGGTTTCCCCTGTAAATGGCCTTGGGGCCCAACCATCTGATGTCCACTCCAGGGTCCTCAGAGTTGTCTCCAAGACATCTGGAGCTCAGCATTGCCATGTGAACTCCATCCTTCCCCAAATCCTGTTCCCCTTCTAGGCGTTCCCAGCCCAACAGATGGTTCCAGAAAGGACTTCAGCAGTCAGCTTCATGCCTCCACCCACCCTCACGTCCCATTCAGCAGTGGGTCCTGCCTGCTCTAGAGCATTCCTGCCTCCCTCCCCACCATCCATCCCTACTGCTCCCAGGCCAGGCACCATCTCTGTCCCAGCTGGTCTCTTTAATGCACAGCAGCCTGGTGGGCCCATGGAAGTACAGGCCTGACTGCCACTGCACTACGATCAAGTGCAAGAACCTCACCCTGTCCTCAGGAACCCACCTGACCAGCCCCAGAGACCTTCATGCTGTCCCCCTGCCCATGAGTGCTTCCCCCTCCGGGCCTTCACACCTGATCTCCAGAGGGCGCTCTCTCCTTCTTTGCTGGGAACACCTCATCTTCAAACCTCAACTCCCATCTCCTCGGTGGTTTCCCAGCCTATTGTCTCCCTACTTTGCCTTTGTGTTTGTGGCCCCCACACATTGTTGTTGAAGGAAAGCAGTCACGTGTTGATATGTTGGTCAAGGCCAGTACACATGTACAACGGTGGGCCCAACTGCCCGGACCACACAGCCTGGGTGGGCCACAGGCCACCATCGAGGGTCATGTGATTACATTCGATGACCTTCTCACAATAGCACATTCACCTAATGACAGTTTCCGCCTCAGAAGTGTCCCCCCAGTTAAAGCAGTAGGGACAGCTGGTGGATGGTATCTATTTAGGAGGCCAGTGGAATCTGTAAGTTTGATGAAGGCTAGTAGAGACCGCGTCTGGCTGGTTTCTCACTGTCTCCAGAGTCTGGCAGGTGCTAGGTACTGAAAGTATTTGTTGCATAAGTGGGTGCTGCTAACAGATCCCAATGGGGCACAGAGCTGTCCCAAATTATCACAGTGAAATTAACAAACACAAAGATGCCCACATCCCTTTCTGTAAAACCCTTGACTGTGATCTTAAGTAGCAAAACTAATTTACAAATGTGATGACATGAAGATGGGGAAATGCCAGTCCGGGGGCCCTTTATGAGAGCCAGACAGCAGGTCAGAGAGAAGAGAAGCCATGTGCTGCTGACTTTGAAGGTGGAGGAAAGGACCAGGAGCCAGGCTGACCTCTAGAAGCTGAAAAAGACAAGAAAATTGATTCTCCCTTAGCCCCTCCAGAAGGTACCCTGCAGACCCAGAAATATAAGATAATAAATGTGTACATTCGGAGCTGTTAACTTGGTGACTTATTACAGCAAACAAATGCAGTAAGTTCATCACGTTTCACAACTGCTACCCGCCCCAGGACTTTGTGAGAGCTGAGACCGTAAGGATGAGCACCAGGGAATTCCCAGCTACCCAGCTGGGTGGGAGGGAGGACAATTGAGAGCAGGGTGGAAGCTATCAGGTGCCTGTGGGTGCCAGGCCCTGAACCTTAATAAGGTCACACTTCTCCTTGGGGTGTTCAGGCCACCCGGTCAGCAGATGGGTCCACAGAGGTGATGATGTTCCCTGCCCGAATTCACGTAAGAAATGGCAGAGCCAGGATTTGAACTTGCATCTGGCTCTGAACCCAGAGCTCTCACCATCACCTCCCTCCTTCCAAGTGGTAAGCTGGCTGTTAGAGAGCACTGCTGAATGGGGGCCCCATGGGGAGGGGCAGGCCTCTTTCAGAGGGGAGTCTGGGTTCTCAAGCAGCTGTCAACCCATGCCATGGCCCCTTACTGTCCAGGATGGGCGCCCTCCTCCCAACCAGGGCTTCTATACTTCTCTCCCACAGGGTGAACGAGCTCTATGTCGATGACCCGGACAAAGACAGCGGTGGCAAAATCGACGTCAGCCTAAACATCAGTTTACCCAATCTGCACTGCGAGCGTGAGTATCCCCAGCAGCCCTTTGCTCTGGCAAGGTCCCCCTTTAGGCAGACCTGCTGTGTAGAAACAGCCAGACGCCCAGAACAAGTTCTGCGAAAAGGGCAAGCTGTAAACAACAGGTAGTGAAACAATATTCCCCCTCCCTTTTTTGGGGGGGGGTGGTGTGGGGGAGGGGAGAATATAATCATTTTGAGAACAGGTAGAAGTTTTCTGGAGTAAAAAATACAAGATTGAACTACCAAGCAAAGGTAACCTCTGAGGCGTAGCTGTGTTGTAGGGGCAAGGGGATCTCTGAGCTCAAATTCTTGAGAAGTAGAACCTGAAATTCTCTGCAAGTAGCTTTGTGAGGGAGGACTCTCAAGAGGCAGGCCAGAGGATGGAAGAGGGGTTGGGCTGAAACCTCTGTTCAGCCTGTGAATTATGTCATGTGAGTGACTCCATGGTTTGGCCTACCTGGATGTGATTACCCAGAGACGTAACTAATGGCCTCAAGATGGTGAGAGAAGGCATGGGGTCACCACCTCCCAATCATCGTAAGGCAAGGACACCTCTAACCGACCTTGGGTCACCCCCCTGGAGAAGGATGCCACCTTGAGCTGTTAGCAGAAGCCGGGGTGTGGGGTTCCATCTGTGGAAGGGTTAGGGGCCAGGCATCTGTGACCATGGAGAGTCAGGAAACTTCCTTTTTGTTTAATACTCCTTACTTTTTGTTTAAAAAAAAAAACTTACATAAAACAAAACTCCTTAGAAATGTGATTTAAAGTCAGATTGAGGCTCCTTTGCTCACTGTGACCGGCTAAGATGACCTCTTGGGGCCTCGGTTTCCCATCTGTGAAATGGGCTTGGTGCTTTGTCTTGTGGAGAGGGCTTGATGAGCTGGTTCCCACACCTGTTAGTGAGTGGACTTGGGGCACCTCCTTTCCTAGGGTTCTAGTCTGAGCCCCTGCCTGGAGGATGTAGGCACTTTCCCACCCCCCTGCCCACCCCACCCCCACCTCCGTGACCTCAAGGCCTGGCCAAGCAGGCCTTGGGCGGGTCCACAGCCAGAGATAGGAGCCATTTGACTCCGTTGTTGCTTTTGGTGAGAATTACATCATGGTTTTGAGTCCACAGTGGGGCCCGAAGCCAGGGAACCTGTTAAAATAAGCCAGTTTTATTTTTTCTCTTTCTCTTAGAAAAATAAGTCATCTGGCAGTTTTTCTCTCATTCAGAAGTTGCTCTCGTCTCTGGAACAAGGACATTCTTAGTCAGGCCAGAGGACTGGGACCAGTGGTGGGGGAGGGAAGGGATGTGGTTCCCGGCTTTGTCCCAGTGCTGGGCGGTGGCCCAGGAGGGGTCAGGCCACCTCGAACTGCTGAGTGTGTGGGCCCGCCATGCCTGCCACCCTGTGGGGCCGGGACCTGAACCCGGCAGCTCCCACTTTTCAAAGCTTCCTGGCTGTTCTTTAAAAAAAAAAAACTTCAAAATTTTGCTATAGGGGAAGGAAATACATGCTCATCATGGCACCTCAGGAAAATCCAGAGAAGCAGAGAGAGAAGTTGTCCATATTCCCCATCAACCCACCCCCGTGACAGCATCAGTGACATTAGTCACTATTCTGCCCTGTTGGCTTCCTTTCTTGGTATTTCTGAACATGGCTGAGATCATGTTGTACATATAGTCTCATTTCTTGCTTGTAAAAACATATCTATTTTTTTGGTTACACAACTCGTACAGGAATGCATTTTCTATTTTAAAAAATACATGTTCAAAACACAGAGGTATATGAAGAAGTATGTCTTCCCCAGTGTGCCAGACACCCCTGCATGAGCCCAGCTTACAGTCGGGACCCCTCCCTGACACGTGTGTGCATGCACACATGCAAACAGAGACCATGTTTGGGTTTTTCTTTATACATATTTAGGACCCAACTATAGGTCACTTTTCTGGGATTGCTTGTCCTTTGGCTAGTATCCTGAAACTATTCTTTTGTTACTTGTAATATTGGTAAGATAATCTCAGTTGCCGCTTACTGAGCCCTGACTCCCAGGTCCAGCCCGATTCTGTATCCTTTGGCCATGTTAGTGCATCAGAACAAACAGAGCTCTAACAGGGCGGTGAAAGGGAGTGGACTCTGGATCTGGACCTGGACCTGGGCTTGGATCTGGATCTGGATCTGGACCTGGACCTGGATCTGGATCAGGGAGAGTGCCTGGGTTTCCAATCCAAGTTCGGCTGCTACTTTGCTGTGAGAGCTCAGGCAAATTACTTAACCTCTCTGTGCCTGAGTATCCCCCAATATAGGATGGGTCTGATAATATCTGCCCCACAGGAATGTTCAGCTGGTAAGTTCTTATATAAGAGCCACCAAAGTAAAAGAATAGCTAACATACAGCAAGTTTAATATATTTTTTTAATCTCACAAATCTAGGGTGGAATAAGAAATCAAGGCACAGAAAGTTAGGTAACTTGCAGTAGGTTCCACAGCCAATAAGGGGTAGCCAGGCACCACAGCAGCCCCGGGGCCCTCATTCTGAGCCTCTGCCCTGCCCAGACACCTCTCCCCACATGGATCTAGCACATTCTTTGTACCTGCTGCTCAGCATTCCTTGGGGAGCAGTTCCGTTGACCGCACCCCTGTTGACAAGCAGTGGGGTTGCTTCAGTTGTCCCAGTTTTAAACAAGGCTACCCAGAGCAGCGCCACGCACACGTCAGGACACGTGTGCATCTGGAGGGTGGGTTCCCGAGGCTGGAGCCGCTTAGTCAAGTAGGCCCTGCGTACATGTCTTCTAAACATGATTGCATCCATGTTTCCCACACCCCATACCCATAAACGTCATCCATGTCTGCGTCACAGGTCCTTCTACAGATGAGCCCTCACTGTCCACCTCAATGAAAATTGTGGGCTCCTTTCCATGTTTTCCTTAAGGTCAGCCCACTATAGCGTCCCTCTTCTATAGTACACCAGCACGCTTGCACTTCTTTCAGGGACGTTCTTGCATTTCCCTAGCTTATCGCCCCCTCCCTTGCCACTTGGCTCATCCCAGGGAATACCGTTGGCAGGGACCTACCCATTTTACAGATTTGGAGACTGATGGCACAGTGAGGTGATAAGGAGTCACAGTGGAATCAAGATCAGGATTCTGCCTCTCATTTTGTGTACTGAGGAACCCAAAAGAGCCTCTGGCAGCCTGGAGCAATAGGTAAAAGAATGAATGAATGCATACATGCATACATGCCTGGGTCTGTTCATCCATGAACCCAGACAGTGTCCGAGATATACTAAATGCTGACATTTATTAACCACCTGCCACTGGCTTATCAAACCCCATTTCACACGTTCTCTATACATGTTAACTCTGATCCTCATAATCCTTTGAGAGGGATTTGATACTGCCAGTCCCATTTGACAAAGAAAGAAACTCAGGTTCTGAGAAGTTCAGCTCCTCAGCAAACATTGCACAGCTGCTGAGCCGCAGAGCCAGGAGTTAGATGATATTGAACCCCTACCTGCCACTGCCCCCCGCAGTCTTGCCTTCAGCCAAGAGGACACCCTGTACCCCACAGCCTTCTGGGAAGGTCACGCTGCTCCCTCATGGCGGGAGCTGTTACTCAACTGGCCGATTTGTCTCTGTGGCTCCAGATCCCCCACTGTGAGCTCTTGGGGAGAACCCTTTACCCATCCCAGAGTGGGTGGAAGAGGGTGGCAAAAGGAAGGACAGAGGGCCCTCCCTGGTGGCGCAGCGGGTTAAAGCACAGCACTAAGAAGCTTAGGCCACTTCCACATGAGTTCGATCCCCGCCTGCCACGAGGAGATCCACATGGCGAGGCAGACCTCTCCTGACCCGCCCGCTGCTCCCCTCAGCAGTGTACTTCATCGATCTGCATCTTCTGCTCCCCACTCTGTCTCTGGTGAAGCCTCTCACCCTCCTCATCTCTGGCCTGTTCTGTATAAATAAATAAATAAATCTTTAAAAAAAAAAAAAAGGAAGGGCAGGGCCTCACCCCTCCTCTCTCCTTGCTTCCTGCAGTGGTCGGGCTGGACATACAGGATGAGATGGGCAGGCACGAGGTGGGCCACATCGACAACTCCATGAAGATTCCGCTGAACAATGGCGCAGGCTGCCGCTTCGAGGGGCAGTTCAGCATCAACAAGGTAGGACAGCCCCCTCGCCCCCACTCCCCAGCACCTCTGTCCCCTTCTGCCTACAAACCAGGTGGCAGAGCTATGTGTCTTCCTGCCCCCCAGGACCTCAGGCACACAGCCCCTGCCAAGCTGGGGTCAGCTTCCCACTGGGTGGAGGTTTTGAAGCACCCCCCTGCTGACTGGTTCAGGAAGGGACTGTTCTCCCCAAGAGAGAAGGCAGGGGTGGAGAAAAGAGAGTGGGGCTCCTGCTTCTATTCTGCCTCTACTCCACTGTGGGCCAAGCAGCCACCTACAAGCCGTCTGACCCCCCTTGGCCTCAGATTTTACATCCTTACATTGTTATAGCCGTGATGGTGATGATAATCATATAAGGGAGCCCCACACAGTAATGCTTGCCTGGGGATTTAAAGCTGTTCATTATACATTCATTCATTGCAGTTTTTTTGGTTTTTTTTCCTGAGCACCTGCTGTGTTCCAGGGTTGTGAGCTCAAAGGTGGTGTATTAGGTGGGTGGAGTTTGCACCCTGGTGGAGAGAGACAGACAATATTTGAACTAACGAGCCTTGCAATGGTTGGGAAGTTCCATGAGGAGGAATGAAGTAGGGAGACTGAGAGTGAGGAAGCTGGTCAGAGAACCATTCAAGCATTGCTGTTTTGTCACTAGAACCCGTACCTTGGGAAATGAAGTCAAGAGTGTCAGCTTGGTGCATTTGGGGGAGTCAGGGAGCCCCAGCAGGAGCCAGCAGGGTTGTGCAACATGGGCTGGCTGTCTTCTCAGCTTCTTTCATGTACAATCTCAGTGGAACCTCTCACAACCCTGTGAGGTGACACTGTAGTATACCAGGAAACCCAGAAAGGTGAAGAATCTTGCCCAAGGTCACAGAGCTCTCTCCATGTCCCACAACGCCTCTTCCCAAGCCCTGCCAGACACAGCCACGGGCAACTCCTTGCTTCTGCTTGCCTCCACCCAACTCCCTTCCCAGAACAAGTTATGTTGTCCTCTACAGCATTCAAGCACTTCAGAGCCAGTGTGAGGAACCAGGCGTCCAGCTTGCTGGCTTTTCAGTCAGAGGGTCTGGCCACACTGGGTCCACCTCCCAGCAGGGATAAAGGTCTGGAACTAGGGAAACTGCCCTTTTAGACAGGACAAGTGTTCTCCCTACTCACAGTCCCCACTAGCAGCTACAAAGTTGGGCCTGCATTGGGATGGCTGGACCCGTCTCGCTCCCTGCGGTCTCCCAACCGCCTGTCTAGTAAGTCAGTGTCTTCCATGACAGCCCAGGACTCCCTTCAGCACTGAAGCAGGAATGCCCCTGGATATTGCACTTGGTGGGCTAATGTGAGTCACAGCCAGTCCAGGTTCAGGAAAGAGGGGCTTAGCCAGTAGCATGGGTGCTGGGCGGCGTGATTCTGAGGCTGTCTTTGCAGATTCATCTCCACACAGGCCTGAGTTGAATCCACACCATCATGTGGATTTTATGGCGGTTGTGCTCCGAAGCTGTTGGGGGTTTTCAGCAGGGAAGCACCTGGAGAACCATTGCTCACCCATGTGTCTAGCTGACAGAGAGACAGCCCAATGCCACACACCCCTTTGGCAAACATGCCGGGCGGCATTGGCACCCCTCAGATGGGCTACTGTGGGGTGAATCTCTACTAGCTGGCGCTCAGTGAAGTGCAGCTTGCTCTTTGGGGCCAAACAGACCTGTGGCCAAGAGGTCTGGCTGTAACGCTAGTTGAATGACTGGGCAGTTTTGTTTATCTAGGCTGCAAACAGGGATAGTTACTGGCCTCACAGGAGCAAATTAAATGTGCCCAGCACTGAACACAGCAGGAATGGAATAAGCCTCAGCATCCTGTTCTCCCATTGGTGGGAATGACCATGACCTCATCAGCTGATCACCACCATTGCCAGGTACAGAAGAGCTTATAAAATTGTGTACAGATAACGTCAGGGGGCCCAGAATTCTAGGAAAGGGCCACTCAGCTGTGACCTGTTGGCTACCAACAATTAGGTCCCTTTACTCGTTAGCCCTCACTGCAGCCCTGCAGAAACTGAGGCACAAGAGATTAAGTAGCCTGATGAGCATTCACAGCCAGGATTTGAACCCAGGCGCTTCCCCTCCCCCGACCCCTACACACCACTGCCCTTGCTGATGCTGGCTGTCTCAGTCACGTGTGACATGGCCGCGTGTCCATTCATTCCAGATCGCAACTCAGGCCAGCCTCTGCCCCTCACCCTTGGAGGGAGTAGAGAACCCCACTTCCCCTTGTTAAGGGTTTGTGTCTTCAGGGTTGCTCAACCAAGAGGTGCCCAGATCAGAAAGCCTGCAGGCAGGCCTCACCTCCGTATCTCCCTTCATCAGGCTGCCTCTTGCCTGGGGCCTCCTTATCCATCTATCCATCTGAGAACGCTGGCGAGCAGCCAGGTGTCAGCAGCCTTTTAGCTGCAGCCCAGACACCTCCACCTCACTTAATCACACAGGCCCGGAAGGGGAGAGTAAGAGGGGTTGGGGCTTGGAGACTGGCTCCATCTATATGTTTTTAAAATCCATCAGAGACACTGACGCAGGCTCCTAAGTCACAGGCTCTAAAAGCGTCGTCTCCCCTTTCTTCAGCCCAGCATGTGCTGGCATGCGTCAGCCACCTGCCATGGGCTCTGAGTGGAGGGGGCGCGGGTCCCTGAGTCACAGCCTCCCAGGGCTGGCAGCCGTGGCAGCTGCGCAAATCCAATCTCCTTGACTCACTTGACTCCAGGAGCCCGAGGCCAGGCCCCAGCCGGATTCTGAACCGGGCCGTGACCATGTCCATGGTCAGGTCCTGGGTCACATATAGAAAAAGTCTAAAGAACATCCTCCGGTCACTGTTGCTTTGTTATTGAAGACGTGATAAGTAGCGGGGACTTTAGTTCTGCCTTTATCGTATTTTTTTTTAATAATAGAAATGTGTCAAAGTATTATTTATATAAGTGAAAATGAAATTTAAAAATATTTCTGTAAGTTGACTTTTCCCCTGGCTGGAGGGGTCCTTTTTCCAGAACAATCCTTCTCTCTTAGCTCTGATGACTGGCCTGTTCATCATCAGAGCCCAACCCAGTAATACCTGCTGTCTGCTTTGTACTCATCCCTTCATTTGATCCTCCCAGTCTCTGTGCGGTTATCATCTCCATTTCACTGGTGGGGAGCGTGGGCACAGAGGCCCAGAGGCAGCACAACCAGAGGGATGAACAGAGGCGGCTTGAGGCTTTGAGGCAAGGTTGGAACCCTGGAAGGTTCCAAGCTGAGGTTTGATGGGATTAAGCATAGATCACCAAGGCCATCTCTAGTCACTGTTGGGGAAAAACTTGGGGACGCCAAGAGCAGCATCTGGGGGCCCTGTGGAGACACCACCATAGTCCCATCCTGGGGCACAGTGGAGGCTTGTGGGGATCAGGTGCCAGCCGTGTGGGCGGTGGAACTGATGCCATTTCCTGATAGGCAGGAGGTTAAATATGAGAGAAGGATGAGGGCTGGGCACCCCCAGGGTTTTGGTCTGAGCAGCTGGGCAGACGAGATACCTTCCAGTGACATCAGGAGGCCCCAGGAGAATCTGCGAGGCTCTGTGTCATTCATTCCCTGGACTATTCATTCATTACCCCTACTAGGCTGTGCTCTGATGGAGCCCTGGGAGCCGGGGGATCTCATTTACCCTAGGGTGATGGGGTAAGTGTCGGAGGGTGGGGGAATGATTTGGAGTCCATTGGGCTGCCGTCCGGAAAGCCCCCCGCCCCCACCCTACTATGGGGCCAGCAGCCCGGGAGGTGGCTGGTGGGCATGCTGTTTGGAGTCCTGGCCTGTGTGAGGAGCCAGCTGTGTGCTCCACATGTGTCCTCTCACCCCAAAGCCCCAGAGCCCCATCTCGTGCCACTGCTATTGTTCCCCCTTCTGCAGTCAGGGAACCCAAGGCTTAGAGAGGGGCAGCAGTTTCCCCAGAGTTCCACAGCTAGGACGTGACCAAGCCAGGATCCATATCCAGGGCTGTCTACTCCACAGTGAAGATCTGCTCCCACAGACCCCCAGTCAAGCCCCTGAAACTTGCCTCTCTCCCTCAGGTCCCGGGCAACTTTCACGTATCCACACACAGTGCCACAGCCCAGCCACAGAACCCGGACATGACCCATGTCATCCACAAGCTCTCCTTTGGGGACACACTACAGGTGAGTGCACGATCTAGGGGATGAGGCCCGGTGGCCATACAGGGGCTCTGTCACTCTGTCACCCAAAGCCTGCTGCCCCCCTGGGCACAGAGAAATGCCCTCCAGAGGGACCACCCGCTTTAGGCCTCTTCTTAGACAAACACCTCCCTCGATTATTCCTTCTGTGTGTAGATGCAGCTTGTTTTGTCAACAATGTAGTGAACTTGGAACCGCAGGTTGGGAAGGGACTGGCCTATTGCAAGCTAGTGCTAAGTGCTCATGCTTTCTCTGCACCAATCATAGGAGGTGGAAGGCCTGACTTCTACAGACAAGGAGCTGAACCCCGAGAAGCCCAACCAGGGTCCCCAGCAGACCTGTCTGATTCCCAGAGTTCAGGACTAGTGTCATTCACTATTTATTGAGCACTTCCTGTGCATCCATGTCGGGGGTGGACAGCAATGGATGAGACAAAAATCCCTATTAGCTTGGCACCTCCATTCTCATGGAAGGACAGGTGAGCTCACAGCCCTTTTTGCCCCACTGCTCAGTACCCATGTCCACTAAGTAGGGGTAGTGCGGTCATTGGGAGATGCTGGCAGTCCTTGTCACGAGCAGCAGGAGGGCCGCTTCTGCAGGTCCAGTCCAACTGTTTCCTACAGTGAGCAGCAGCCCAGAGGGCCCAGACACACACACCTGGTGTTGGCATTCTCTCAAGCATCCCCCCACGGGTGTAGTTGTGTTTGTCACATATACACACACCATCCAGGGAGGCAGGCTCACACTCGCTGACTGGAATATCTCATACAGACCCACATGCAGGCTCTGGCCTGCACTGCTCCATCCATACGTCCATCCACATCCATTCACTTGCAACAAGAATTCCTGATGTCAGTCTAATGCTTTCTGTGAGCCAAACGGTGTACCTTGCAAGCCAAACTTTTCACTTACTCAGCAGCTCCAGAGATAGGTGCTTTGTTTTCCCCATTTTACAGATGAGAAAACTGAGGTTTGAAAGGGTACACCCTGCTGTAGAACCCAGTATGAGTCCAGTCTCACCTCGACTGCCCTGCCAGTACAACCTCGTCCTCACACACTCCTCATCGTGCACACCCTACGACACAGATACACTTTTCGCGCTTCCTCCCTCCATCCATTCCTTTACTATGGTACACAGCCCGATAGAGTCAGTCATGGGCTTCCCAGTTCCTTTGGAGACCCAAAAGAAATTTGGAAACAGAGAAGGTCTGAGCTCCTGGGAGCCAGTGACCAGACTGCCTATCCATACACTCAGTGAGGGTAGGGACAGTGGACTCACTTCCTGCAGGTGATTTCACATGGGACTCACCCCTCATTCCCTCCTACGTCTGCCACCGAGAAACTATAGTATGGAGGTTCCCTAGCTTACCATTCTGGGTTCAGATCCTGGTTTCACCATTTGCCAGTTTTGTGACCAAGGCCTCAGTTTTATCAGATTACATCCAATGTAAAAAGAGAATAATAATAGCCCCTTCCTCCTACGAGCATTGCAAAACTCCTAGAACAGAGTGAATAGTCATTGAAATCAGATGTTCCCCTTATTGGCTGTACCCTCACGCTGCCAGTGTTCATGGGGCTCACACATAGGGTGTGGCGTGGGGTCATCACCACCCACATGAGGGATGGTAGATGATGACCCCATGCTAGGCAATGGGCCTTGGCTGCATCCTAGAGGTTTTTGCTCCCACCAGCTCACCAAATCCTGACAACAACTCCAGAAACTAGGCACACAGGGAAACTGAGGCATAGAGTCACAGGTCATACAACTCACCGATCACACAGCCAGAATTTGAACCCAGCTTTTGCACAGTCAATACATCTTTCTTGCGAAGAGCAGCATTGTAGAAAAAGCCTGATTTAATCCTCACAAAAACTCCCTCGAGTATGTTGGAGGGGATTTATTTTCCCTGATGAACAAACTGGGTCAGAGAGGTTCAGTAACTGACCCAAGATCACTCAGCCCTCAAGAAACCAGATGTGTCTGGCCCCTGGTCTTCCTTGATTGTGCCTCACGTAGGCACAGGTGGATTCATCAGACCTTCTGGAATTACCTTTTCTTTGCCAGGTTCTGTGCCAGAACTTGGGACTGCAGTGGTGAATAAACAATACAGGGTTCTCACCTTTCCGTGAAGAAGAGATCAAATAATGTTATACTATAGGACATTATAATATAATGTCAATTATACTATAATATAGGCCAAGGACAAGAGAGGCATAGGAGTCTAGGCAGTGATGTGGAAATGGACTGCTTCCCGGTGGGGAAGATCAGGGAGGGCTTCCTAGAGGAGGTGGAATATATGCCAAACCCTTAAAAAGGTGACAAAAATCGAGCACAGGACATGGAAGTCTCATGGCAAGGGGTCATTTTGTACATCGCCACCTCCTAGGGTGCTTGCTGTGTGGCATAGCCAACTGGTCATTTTCATATGAAAGACTCACAAAGTTATGTTTAGGGAAGAAATGAATTGGCAAGTGTCCACACGTCACAATAGTGTTTTGTATGTGAGATGCTGAGGTCCAGGGAATGAGGGTCATCAGAATTGGCTGGGGGTCCAAAAGTATCTACCTGGAGGGGGAAGCAGACTCTGGGTTTTATGTGGAGGGAAACCCATGTGAGACTTAGCCAGGTGGGGGCTGACTAGGTTAGGTAACTGTCTCAAAGACAGCTCAATCATTGTTATGGCAGAAGTAGGATTTCTTTTCATGTAAAAAACTGAGCTGAGTTTCCATCTTCCAAGGCATTAGCCATCTATGCATACAACAAATATTTATTGAGTACCTACTTTATGCTGGCCTTAGGCATGCATCAGTGAAGACAGCATGGTCCCTTCCTATATGGAGCTTAAAGTCTAGCAGAGAAGACAGAAGTTAATCAAATAATTATATAGTTGAAGATGAGATAAAACTGGCACACAGCAATGGAGGAGAATGTTCATAATCTCTGTCCTCTTATATTAGAAACCAAGTCTTCAGAAAGTCAAGTTCAAAGCACCCAATGGACCGACTTTATTTTGTGTTTATTTATAAGTACTCTAGCCAAGAACTGGAGCAGGTCACCCAAATGATGCCCACTGTGCCTACAGGGGCCTATCCCCACTTCCCTCACTGACCTCCCTCCTTCCTACTCCACCCACCTTCCTTTCTGGAGGGCCACACAGACCTCTATTCCCCTGTCTCCAGACTCTCACGTTTACAGATGCTGCTCACCAGATTAACGTCTCTCTTTCCTGTAGATATTGATGTCCCTGTCACTTCCTTCAGGAAGTCCTCCAGAGTGTCTACCTCAGCAGCCCCTGTTCCATGCCCCTGGTAGTATGCCCCATGTACTGGTTGTGCCTCACCCTGCCTTCAATTTTCTGAAACTAACTTGCTTTCCATCTTCCTTACAAAAGAAGGGGGTGGCTTTCGGCTCTATTCTACAGCAGCCTCTCTCAGGGGGACACAGCCAGGCCTTTTAGAGGATGGTGGGGGGAGGTCTCAAGAGGTACATGCTGGAACCCAGAGCCACCTTACTTGAGTCTTCTGTGTAGCTTAATGGAAAGTGCTCAAGCCTTGAGGTCCTACAGCCCTGAACCTGAAGTTGACTCAGCCTTATGCTGGCAAGGGGACCCTGGGTAAGTTCTGGAGTTTCTCTAAGACTCATCTGCTATTCTGTAAAATGGGCCCAATGAAATATCATTTGGATCATTAAATGAGATGACATGAAATGTCTATGACAGAGTGGCATATAGTAGGTACCCAAGCTGGGAAGCAAGCTAGTACCTACCGTGTGCCAGCCTTGTGCCCTGTTGTATCTTGCTCCCCAGACTTCTCTGAGACAGACTGTGCTTGTCTGCATTTCACAGATGTAACAAGTGGGGTCCCTAAATAAGGTTGTGCCTGGGATCAGCCCTTCACTCTGCTTCTCCACAGGTCCAGAATGTCCACGGAGCTTTTAACGCTCTCGGGGGAGCAGACAGACTCACCTCCAACCGTAAGTATTCAGAGCCCACCTGCTGCAGTCCACTGTCCTGTATGGCAGAGGGGAGGGAGTATTTGTCAAGTGTGTGCTATCAAATTGACAGGCCAAGCTGTCAATGCTTTATTCCCACATGTAGCCCGTGAGGAAGCTGGGATTATCCCTCTTTCAGAGAAGGGAGAAAATGCCTTGTGTCCAGGGGCAAAGCACGTGGCAGCTCCGGGCACATATTCAGTACTCACTGAGTACCAGCTATTATCATCATTACTGTTGTTATTGCTGCCATTATTTTTCCTAGTTGAGTTAATCCCTGAAATCCCACAGAAGTAATGATGGAGAGCCAGAACCTGTCTGGTTCCCCTTGGCACCGTGAGAACTGGGCTGTGGGTGGCAGTTGGGTCTAACTACCCCTCCCTGCCCTTTCCTTTTCCTTGAACCCCTCCCACCATGCGTGACTGCTCCCTGAGCCCTCTTCCTCCTCAGCCCTCTGGCAGCTCAGCCCACATCCCGGGGCATACCTTGTCTTTATACACCAGCAGAAAAGCATGCCTGCTTACATGTGTGTACACCTACATGCATGCACAGCAACACACATACATGCCAGTATGCACGCACACCCACACGGATGCATTCAATGCATGCCTCCAACATGCACACCTACACACCAACCAGCATACACACCTACTGCTTAGCAATATGTGCATACACCTACACACACCAACCTGCCCTGCAGTGACAAGCAAACACCGCAACACACACATGCCTACACGAACATCAACACATGTGCTCACACTTGTACCTCTGTGTGCATGTGTGGGTCCTTGGCCACGTGCTCAGAATAGTCTTGAAATCTGCCTGGACCCAGCCAGTAGATCCTGGACAGGCTACCGGACACGTGACCGTCACATACTACCCGTCCAAAGTCCACCTGCCCCACCCCTGTGGCTTCTATCAACATGTGCTCGCTAACAGAAACCAAGTCAAAGACAACTTCTCTCTGTGACCAGCCCCTCCCCTGTAATAAGTCAAGCTTTATTGAGTCCCTGTGAATTTTGTCCAGTCGCAGAAGTCATTTTTCCCTAGGTCCGTAGACAGAGCTTACCTTCTGACCTTTGTGCTCGTCATTACTACATAATCAGTCTTCCTACATCGCTTGCAATGGTCATGGAGACACAGCCGCCTCTCCGGCAGCTCTGCCAGGCTTTGTGAAGGCCTGGGCAGTGTTTGTATGACAGTAATGCCTTGATATTTGTGGTATGTGCTTTACATTCCCAGTGGCTTTCGTCTGGGTCCAGGCGGCGCGTGCTGCCTCTGGCAGCAGCAGCCTCTAGTGCCTCAGTAGAAGAAAGTAGGCAACAGCGCCTCCTTGCTTCCGTGGGAATGCCTGGCCAATGGGAGTGGGGGCGGAGGGGTGGGCAATGCCGCTTGGCACAGAGGGGGAGTGGTACTGATCTGAATAAGGTCTGCGTGTTCCAGCCACACACCCACAGTTAGCACAGGCCCCTCCGCTGCCTGAAGCCAAGGGGAACCAGCTAGGAAGGCCCCTGAGTGTGTGAGCGTGAGAGGGTGTCTACAGAAGACCTTGGCCGCTCTGGGGCTGGGGACAAAAGCCACCTCAGACCTCAATGGAAGGAGAAGTGTATTTGGCCTGGCAGTAATACCCTTGCCCCACCACCCCCCATCAACACCAGGGCTAGACCTGGCTCTCGAATCCTCAGCTTCAGCTACGTTCCAGCTTCTGGACCTCTGCTTTTCCAGCTCCCTGAGATCTCGCTCTCATCCCAGGGGCTGCTGCTTGTCCTTTAGGTCTCACTCTGATGCCACCACCTCAGACCACTTTACCTAAAGTGACCCTCATTCCTAGGATCCCACTGTCTTTCTTCTGAGTTCAGACACCTTGGAGATACCGAGGAGCCACTGTGGATGTCTTATGAAGATGCTGTTGGTGGTTGGTTGATTTTTTTAGGAGTCCTTGTATCTAAGGAGATATAACTAAAACATTTGTGGGTGAACTGATGGGACCTGGGATTTGCTTCAAAAATGAAGTTTGTCACCTAATGACCCTTCAGTCAAGGCTGGACCCCACAGAGACAGAGACCCCCACGGGCTCTTCCAGGCCACCGAGGTGTGTGTGGGATCACACTTTATGACATTCCCTCAATGACAACAAAATCACCTAAGGACACGTTTCTCAGAACATGTCCCCTTCAAGTGACTCATGACTATAAAATGGAGGAGTGAGGAGAGTGAGCCAACCCAGCCATGTGTTGTTTGCTGCTGAAGCCAGGCGAAGGCTTCTTGAGGGTTCTTTATGTGATTCTTTATTTTTTATATGTTTGAATTTTTCTGTGATGAGATACTTGAAGGAGGGAGGGAATAGGGCAGGAGATGAGTGCCTACCTGGGTCTAGTGGGATTCCAAAGCCCGTCGGAGAGGACAGCTCACCAGGACTCCATGTGCGGGTGTATAGGGTCTCTCCTGGATGTTTGGCAAGTTGTATCCAAGGCCTTAACAATGGTCACCGCCTTTGAGTCATCAGTTCTACTCATAGGACAGTAAACTAAGGAAATCATTAAGAGAATGTGCAAAGACTTAGGAAAATCATATGAGTGGGTCATTGTTTATAAGAGGGAAATGAGGAACAGCGTCACAGTCTAGCTGTGGGGTTTGGTTGAGTACAGTTGTATGTGGCCATGACAGGGGATGTTCACACACAATGAAATGGCCTGGCCACGCCTTTCTCAGAACCTGTCCCTGTTGTTCAGCGACACTGAAGGCATTTCAAGTTTGGGCTTAGGGCTCCTGATTTCAAAAGGCAGATTCTAGGCCCCGCACCAAGCCTAAAGAATGGAAATCTCCATGGATGGAGCCTAGCCTTTTAAATGCCAGGCATGCTAGAAATTCTGACAGCTTAGGACCAGTGTAGGGTTGAGCAGAGGGGACCTGGGGTCTTCTGGTGCTCAACCTTGATCTTCAGGGTGTTTCCCAGGCTTATAGAGGCACGAAGATGGTTCAGGAAGCACTGTCCTTTCGTCACCAGGATGAAGTATTAGCAGGAAGAGGCAGGGACACCACCAACATCATCTACCCTCATACAGAAGAACCCAAGTACTCAGAACTGACTCAGCTAGGAGACTAGAATTAGAACCCACAAGCCCAAATTTCCATGATGTTTTAGTTCCAGGTTCCCTGCAGTTAGAGAAGGCGTAAGAGAGGTCATTGAACTCTTAGCCTCCCAGAGGGCCCGAAGCAATCTATACCTTTTCCAAGTGTGATTTGGCAGCTTTGGGCCAGCCTGCTGTTTGGTTCCAGTTATCTCATGCTTATCAGAAGCTGATTCATCTGCTCTTCCATTCATGCCTTTGATAAGAGTCATCCTTCCACTGTTCATTCATTCAGTAAGCATTCGCCACTGTCTTCTCCATACCAGCCTTGCAAGAGGCTCTGGAGACACAGACATGAGTAAGGCGTAAGTGAGGCGCCATCCATGAGACCAGTGGCGCTGGGGAGAGAATGACAGTGCAGTGTGTCAGGCTCAGGTGGAAGAACCAATCTTCCTGTCATAGAAAACTGGGGAAGAAACGAATCTGTTTTTGTTGATGCTGTCTTTCTAGTTTGGTAAGCTCCTTGTTTTTAAAACTTAAGCACAACTCATTCCAAAAGCAATAGCGTTCAAGCAGGGCCAGAGTATACACAATGAAATATGGTGCTTATCCAATCCTGCCATCCCCCCACCCCACCCCCCTGCCCCAACCCGGAGGCTCAATGCTAATGATTTCTTGGGTATCTTTCCCAGAAAATTCTTCACTCTATTCCCACATATACACAGCATCTCCCCTGTCCACAATGCATGGAAACAAGCTATCCACCCTGATGTGTAACTTGGTTCTCTGCATTTCAACGTGCTCTCTTGGACGGTGGCCTGTGGAGTGCCCAGTCTCTAACGCTTGTCCTGCTGATGGGCATCTGGGTTGTTTCCAGGATATTAATGTTAGATGCCATGCAGGAGTAAAGGTCCTGACAGGTGGGGTCTCTCAATGGCTGATGTGTAAGGGGAGAAGGGAGGAGGAGTGATTTGGTGGGGAAACTATGGGGACCGAGCACCCCAGCAATGCCAAGTAGGTTCAGGGTTGAAAAGATGTAGAGAAGGCTGCCAGCTGGCAGTATTCAGCCCCCGGTTTCATCCTGCTGTGTCCTTCCCACAGCCCTCGCCTCCCACGACTACATCTTGAAGATTGTGCCCACGGTTTACGAGGACATGAGTGGCAAGCAGCAGTACTCTTACCAGTACACAGTGGCCAACAAGGTACTTGGGCAGCGGTCGGGCCTAGCTGCATGCAAGCGTGCCCTCTGCTGGCGGAGAGCGGAATAAGTCGCGAGGCCACATTTGCCCAGGTTCCCTTCAGGCCGCCCGGGGGATGTCTGCCCCGCCGCGGGTTGTGATGGGAGGCTGTTGCCCAGGTCAGGGAATCTAACAAGGAACAGGGTGTGATATATTTGAGAAAGGCCAAGCAAGCAGGTGGCTTCCCCCAGAGTTCCCAGTGCTTGCAATCGTCTCCATGTCCTGGCAGCATCCGCCCCTCTGGTCCTTCAGAGTCAGGGCTCCACCAGCACATGACACACGCACCAGCTTGGGGAGGGGGCGCAAGCGCTTTACCCAAAATCATGAGACTGGTGAATCATTCTGGTGCCCGTGCTGAAGGGGAATGTGCCAGGACTCCAACATGCTACGTCATGGAGCAGCAGACAGGCCCAAGTAGGTACCGAGCCAGCAGAACAGATGGCCAACAGTTCATGGTTTCAAGCAGAGACAGCCACTGGCTTCCCCGAGGTGACCCTGCCGAGGGGACATGAGTGCTGGATGCCTGGTGGTTGAGGCACCCCCAAAAGAGACCCCATGGGTAGGTCTTTACCACCTTTTCCTTTCATGCCAGGTTGGCCCATGCCCCTTCTATGGAATATATTGTCTAGCTCAAAAAAAGAGCAGAAACTCTTATTTATTGATTATTTACTATGGGCTGGCCCTTGTGCCAAGTTTTCTGTTTCCATCATCATTTTCAATCATGACAGCATGACTCTGGGACCATTTTTGTCCCATTTTACAGTTTTGGCCACTCAGGCACTGAGAGATGGTCAGAGAACTATAACACAGCTGAATAAGAATTTGAACTGGGTTTTCCCTGAACTTCAAATCTGGGCTCTTGACCACCTCACTCTCAGTCTGAACAAGGGTCTGTTAAGTCTGACAGACTGGGCACCGCTCCCGTTTGAGTGACCCAGGTGCCTGTATGCTCATCACCTGTGTTGTTCTGGGGTAGCTATCCACAGGCAGCCCTGCTTCTTTATGTTCGGTCTCTTGGAGGCCATCTCACTGTGATGCCAGGCCAGGCATCTGAGTAGTAAGTACATGGTTCACCATGGCTCTGTCTCTGACTGACCGCAAGCCCAGATGGCTTCCCTTGTGGAGTGGGGCACTGTCTACCTCATACGATTGCTATCAAATGAGCCAATGCTTTATAATCTGCGCAGCCCACAAAGAAGTCTTTGGGCCCAGGGACCCATCACTGCAGTTTCTCGTTACTCTTCTCTGTCGATCAGCTCTGGGCTGTAACCAATGCCCCGTGCCCATCAACTCTCCCTGGACAAAGCGGATCTTGTTTTTGTCCAAGGCCTGGCCAGGGCTCAGTGCCCAGGAGAGCCTGCTCAGGGCCTTCCTCTTTGCCTTTGGTCCCAGCCAGTCTGGGAGCGAGTGTGGCCACCGAAGCCATCAGGCCCAGGCACTTTCAGGCATGGTGGTCTGGGGTGCCATGGAGTTTGGTGTCCAGTTGTACATTATGAGAGGTTTTCAGAGCTTGAAGGGCCCAGGCCAGACAGAACACTGTGAATTCAGTCCCCTAGCGTGCTATTAGTCCAGTGGGTGCCCTTTCAGGAAGGCATGGCTCTGGCTCGCCAGGGCAGCATGTTCCTCCTGTTAAGAAGGATACTCCTCACGTGACCCTAATGCTTGACTTCCACACACAGGCTCATAAATGCACTGGTGCTCACACACACACTCATGCACACTCGCCCATGCAATACACACTCACGTAATTCACACACTCACACACCCCTCAGGACACCACTCATCTGTCGTGACCTCCTTGGTACTCCCTGGTGCACAGTCATTGCGTGTGCCTCCTGCAAACTGTGACTCCCTCTGGGGAAGGGGTGGGGCTTACTCCCCTGGGGGTCTGCAACCTGCAGCACTGACCAGCCCAGGGGAGAAGAACTTGGTAAACCGTCTTTGAATAAAGGAAAGCTTTTACATGGCCAGGAATGGAAGGGAGCAAATAGGCCTCAGACTGAGCCCAAGTCGCTCTTGTTCCCGCTGCAGCTCTGCTCCCCGATTCACATTTTGATGCTGGCGCTGCTTCCAGGTCATATGGTACACTTCCAAGCAGCCGAAGGGTCAAAAATGACCCCAGCAGCGTGGTCCAGAGGAAGGAGTATGCGAGGGGGCACTGTCGAGGCTGACAGGGACGAGAGTGGGAGGAAGGGGAGGAAAGTCCTTCTGTGCTTCTGATTCTCTGTCCCCCTCCCCTCTTCTCCTCTGACCAGGAGTACGTAGCCTACAGCCACACAGGCCGCATCATCCCCGCTATCTGGTTCCGCTATGACCTCAGCCCCATTACCGTCAAGTACACGGAAAGACGGCAGCCTCTGTACAGGTTCATCACCACGGTGAGTGGGCGCAGCGTTGGCTGTGGGTGGCCCCTGCCTTCAACAGCCCCACCAAGTCTGGAAGAATCAGGACACATCCGCCCCCAGGGCTGGGCTAAATCCTTCAGAACCACGTCAATATACGTGTCATTTCACTAAGAAGAAATTTTCCAGAGGGACTGTCACTAAATACAATTTAATTCCTTAATTAGACCTTTATATGGCTTAAATAGATGTTCATGATCTTCTCTAGCTGTTTATTTTATATGGAAATTATTCATGGGAGGGTTTGTCCTTTTCTGTGTAAATTAGACAATGAAGATTTAACTCAGTTTTTCCTCATATCTATTGTCCAGCTGTAGCTGCCAATGTTGTCAGATTTCTTTCTTTCCTTCCTGCCAGCCTGTTCTCTTTCCTTTCTGTTATGCCATTGCCTCCATCAAATCCGATTTTTCATGGGGCAGCTTCCAGCCAATGTCAGTTTTCTTTGATGCTGATTATTTCTGTCCAGTATGTTATTTCCTGGCCTCCCATTTAGAAGAGCAGGGTCACAGCGCCCTGCCTCAGCCAAGAGGCAGGGACAAGCAAAATCAGCCAAGATGGGATGATTAAGCCTACCTCACAGATCTGGAAATTGAGACTGGAAGGTCCTTATGCTTCTGTGCTTCTTTGTCCTTTTAATAATGATAGGAAATTGGGGCCATACCTCTGGCTCATTTCATATCCTGCTCTGACTAAATCTGTAGTTGAGAGGACTCTCTTAGAGAAGAGCCCAGAGCCCACATCAAGCTGGCCAGAGTGTTAAGTAGGCCTCAGGTGTGGTCCGATCTAGGTGTGAATGTTGTCAGGAATAGGTCTTTCTTTATCTTGCTTTCCTCGGTTCTGGCTCCATTTTCAAATAGAATTTACCAGTAGAAAGTGTGTCAACCATCAGAGACTAGGAAAAGACATTGGCCACACATATAAGGAAAGAAAACTCTTGGGAATTCATATATAAGTAATTCCTACAAATCAGTAAGAAAAAGTTCAAAAAGGTGAGCACTAGCCTTTCACAGAGGAGTCTATGCTGGTGGTGAAGAGTCCCAGCTTCACTAAAAATTGAAGGAATAAGAATGAAAACAGCCCGGTGCTCCCAGGACACGAGTCCTGTCGGATTAGCAGAAGTTACAGACCTGCCACCATAAAGACTGGGAAGATGGGAAGTGGGGTGCCCTCATGTGCTCAGGTAAAGCGACTTGGCCACTTTGGAGGGAGATAGAGAAACCTCTTGACCCAAAAGTCAAAGAATTTCTGAGTAATTGATTTTACCCCAAGACCCAACAGGGTAGCCCCCCAAGTGGGTCTGGGAGCTGATTCTTCCCCAGGATGCCCACTGCCTTACCCAGAATAAGACATTAGCTAAAACACAGGAACAGTGTCTCTGTGCTAGTGAGGTCTGCTGCCTAGATGCCCAGGGGTCGTGGCATGGAAAGTGGCAGAGAAGCCCCTACACTCCTCATTTCTGTCCCTTCCCCTTGGCCCCTGTGTGCCACAACTCTAATGTTCTGAGTGTTGAAACCTCTTAGCAATTGGCTGAGAAACGAAATGACTTCACCACTTATGTTCATAGTGTTTACTAGAAGTGACTGTGCCTGGATGCTGTGCAGGGCACCAGGTTTGACTGAATCAGACATGCCCCTGCCCTCAAGCATCACCTGCCAGTGAGTTGAGCTTCCAGAGCTTCCACAGTCCTGTCCAACAAGAGCTCCAGGAGCTGAGCACTGGGCACAGCAGCAGAGAGACGCCCACAGATGGAAATTTCTAAAAAGGCTTAAGATGGGTCCTTGAGGGTGCAGTGGTGTTTTCTAGGTATGGTGGAGGGCAGGTCTGAGCAAAGGGAACAGTACGTGCCAGGGTGCCCAACATGGCCTCTTGAAAAGGCCATATGGCCTCCATCAGTGGGGATGGATTTCTGACAGCCAGGGATCCCATGAAGTCACAAGGAAAAGGCTGCCTTTTATCACCCAGTGGCTAACAGCCTCTATGACTCGTCACCTTCCCTCCACTCGGTCACCAACCTCTCCTCCATCTCCTGTCCTTCATCACTCAAGTCTAGGCACACTGGAGAGACCCTTCTGATGTCATTAGCCTGAAGTTCCTTCTGCAAGTAGTGGGCGCCCATCTTAGTTACCGTGGCAACCGTGGGGTCAGCCCCCGTAAGCCAGCCGGCTGTCCCTGGCAGATGGCGTCATTGTGGAGCTTCAAAGGCTCTTGTCACAGGACAGCAGATGTGGGGATGACGCACGCATGCAGACACACACACACACACACACATACTGCACAAAGGGCCCCCAGAGCCTCGAAGAGCCGGGTGGGGCCCGGATGGAGTGGGGACACCTGCTGCGATTTTTCTTTCTCTCTCTTTAAAATCAAACACTTGTGCGTAAAGCACCCCCACACCCACATGGGGGCCTCTGCAAATAGCTCCTCAGAGGGACTGCCAAAGACGAGGCTTAGGCCAGGACGTAGTCATGTGGCGGCTGCAAGGCTGTGGGGGCAGCTGTGGGTGGGCTGGAATGAGGGGTGGGTGCAGCCAGGGGTGTGGATGTGGAGAGGAGAGGCAGGTGGGGCCTGCTGGTGCATTTCTAAGGGTCAGGTGCCTGGCTTCCTTGGGGTTGCACTGCCAGGATCTCGTGATCTGGAAAGGACCTGTTCATGGAGAACCTGAAGGGAGAAAGGGTCCTCTTCCTGGAAGGCTTCACCAGGCTGCACGGGGCACCTTGCTCATACCTGTTTTGTGCGAGTCCAGAAAATTCCCCTATGGAGGGCATAAACAGATGGTACTTAACATGCAAGTAATCCCCTTCAAAATGCTCCCTCCCACACATGTACACTTGTCCCCTGCCACTTGCTGAAATGCTTTTTTTTAAGATTGTCTTCCAGTGCGACGTGGTGACAGATTGGGTAGCTTTGGAGGTGTCACCTCTCTGTCCATGTGTGTTTTCTTCTATTTAGGGCAACAGCCAGAAATCACAAGTGCCAAATGAGGCCAGTATGGCTGTGACAGTTTTTGCCCACCAAAGAGTCCTGGCTCGTAATGGTCACTCCTGGGTAGCCACCGAGTAGTTGAATTATACACACACGTTCATGTGCTCCTCGACCCAAATTTTGGAGTGTAAACTAAGCCCCCAAATTTTAGAGTGTGCTCTCTAGTTACTAAGCTCTGATGGACTCCAGGTCTGAGTCCTTCTGTGTCCCCAGCATCCAGGACAGAGGGATTCACAAGTATACAAGGGCCGGCTGCTTGAAGAAGCGCTGATATAATCGTGCTTACTATGTGCCAAGTAACTTCACAGTTATTAGCTCCTTTACCCTCCCACCAAGGTCTATGATGTCATTCCTCATTTATATAATTAACTGAGGCCCAGATTGGTGAAGGAACTCACCCAAGATCACACAGCCAGCAGATGGCAAGACTGGGACTTGAATCTTGAAGTCCACCTTGGCCTTCTCCCCCCACTCCCACTCCCGCCCATAGGTTGAGAGCCTCCATTCTCAAAAGCAGGGGTTCTCAAGCATGTTCAGCCTCAGACCTCCCCAAAGCCATAGAGACTTCTGGTGCACACCAGGATCCTTTGACACCATGGCTTCCCTTCTGGGAATCAGGAAGAAAATAAAGCAGGAAACAAGCTGATACTAAGAGCGAATTTGATCAAATCACAATCACGCACATAAAAACTGCCCAGTAAACCACAAACAGCCCATCCAAGACTGAGTGATTGGTTGTTTGAAAGCCATCCCGCCCATGTCTGATTACCTTTCACTCGTCACCTCCAAGAATTTGCCACAGACAGAGGGAACCAGTATTGTGGGTAGGGGGGAGAGGGGAGGAGATGGGGTAAAAAGAATTGCAAGGAGATCGCCTAAAACTGAGACAGTCTTACCCACCAGGGTGTATGAATTGAATTGGAGGAAAACCAGCTTTGTAGGGGGATCGGCACCCCAGCCCTTTCAGAACCTCCGTCTCCTCCTGCTTAGACTTCCCTCATGGGGCCTCCTGGGACAGCACAGAGGCATTCCTGGGCAGGTGTCATTGTCTGAGAAGCAGAGCAGGGTGCAAATCAACAGTCCCTTCCTCACTGAGGTCTAGAAACATGCCCGAAAATCCAAAATCAACTTCAGCTCAGACCCTTGGCGATAATCGAGCAGATCTATCTTCCAGAAGTTTGTGTAGCAGAGACACAATGGGGTCTGAAGACAGATGTCACTGTTGGAATAGAGTCTTCTGTTGCTTGTTTTTCTGAGGCAGATTCTGAGATTTACAAGGAATATGAGAATGAAGTGGGCTCCACTTACTAACCATAGCTATTCTTCACAGACATACCTCTTCTTACAAAAACAGCATAAACAGTGCAATCAGGATTTAACCTGATTGAGAGAACACAATATAAAGAAGCAGAAAGTTGAGGATGGAGGGGAGCCCTCAAGTTGGGGGTGAAGCAGGGTCTGTCACCACTCCCATCCTGCACCACCCTCCCCTGCCTGGTGTGGCCTTGGAGGAGTCATCCCTCTCCAGGCCTGTTTCCTCACCTATAAAAGGTATCTGTGAAATGAGGGTCACCCCATTTCCCCTGGGGCTTGCAAGGATTAAGTGAGGAGACAGAAAGCACAATGTCAGACCCTGCACATAGTAGGTGCTAGGCCGAGGTTGTTTCAGAGGGAGAGGTGGACTTCCTGCAGCTGTTGTAAGTGGGGGTAGAGGCCACCACTCACCCTCCCCTGTCCCCTGCACTACAGGGGGGTCTGGTGGTCATGACTCCTCAGGGGTGGAGACCACCACACCCTTTACTCCACCCCAGCCTTACCCCTGCCCCAGCCTCTGGTCATGAGCCTCCCTTCTGAGACAGACCCCCTCCCCCCCCTCGCCTCTGCATGGCTTTGGTGTTCTCATCCAAGGCTCCAGTCTGTCTGCCGCCACCCGCATCTGATGGGATTTGGGTTCATTATTTATGTCCTCATACTGTGCCTTTTCCACAAGCTTT